TGTTTATCAACAAATGCTACTGAGCAAGATATTGATTCGTGAAACACATAAAGTATTTAATTTTGCTCCATCTAATTCTAATAATTCATTTAAGACAATTTAGTATTTTTACAATTATATATATTATTAATTATAAATACACAACCGGTTTGTTTTATTTTTTATTCAGCTAATATTTCAAATATATGAGAGGGTGTGAGTGTTAGCTGCATTGTAGAATACAGAACCATGCCAACGTACTCACCCACACTCCACACCCTCTAGAATGAAGATAAGACTCATTCATATCTAAATCCACACTCATATACGCCCTAAAACAAAACGTGATTAAAATCGAGCACATCTGAGAACATCATTATTGAAGTCATCTTGATTGTCGAAATCAATATCTTCAAATGATACAAAAGTACCAATGCCAATATCAAAAAATTCAAGTTTACAATTATCATCAGACCGCATTCCAATATATTATTGTGATCGAAAAAAAAAACAATACTTCTTCTACTTATACAAGTAAATCTCCTTTATTGACATAATTTGTCCAAACTAATTCCATGATCAAGTTTAGTATAATCAGAACAAAATGAAAGTCTTGTTTAAATGATATACTATTTTGTTTTATTGGCTTCTTTTAATTGTCTATATTCTTCTTTTAATTTTTGTACAATAAAACGTCCTTTTGCTTCTTTTTCATGAGCAGGACTTGTACAATGAGTATCCAAAATTTTTTGCGAATTCATTTCTTTCCAACATATATCGCATAGAAATGGTTTTGAATTGTTTAAAGATAATTTTGGATTTTGATATTCCCTATATATGTGTAATCGATTTTTATGATTTTGCCCTTCGAAATGCATTTTCGAACATGATTCACCATTAAAATGAACATTACAGAGTTCACAATATGGAGGGTATTTCCATGTAATAAATGCAGGATTAGCAACAATTTCAATTGTTTTTTGTTCATTTGATGAAGGGTTGTTTGCCGACGTTTCTTTCGTCATTATCTGATGATCTAAACTATAGTAAAGTTTACTTATACAAGTACACTTTTAATTCTTCACTGCAACATTGAGATACAAATACTATTGACTCAAAAAGTAAGCCGAATCGCTATTGATTCAGTTTAACAGAGACTATGTTATATAATAACTCTTCTACTTGAAAGTTTTATAACTCAAGAAGAGAAATAGCTTAAGACCTAGTAATCCTATCATTATGTAAAATAATCTATGTCAAAAGAGTGCATCATGAAAGATTCGCTGATTATTAGTCTTTTCATTTGTTGACTTATATGAGAGATTTCCTAGGTTATGCCGTCTCTTAGATTCAAGCGAACATAATCAGATTCGTTTCATTGATCTACATTTTCAAGAAAACGTCTACACTACGAAGTTTCACAAATGTAGTAATATCTGTCGAATAAAATAGATTGAAATATTGATTGTTTTTTAATCATCGCGTTAAATAAGAGTTTCATTTAGACAGACGAATGTGTTCAAACAGAAATACACAGTTAGTTCGCTCATACGATCCACTCATCTATAAGCTTTTATAACTTAGAGATGAACAAATATTTTCTCTGCCGAGTATTTTCAATTTCACTATGACAGTTTTGAAAAGTTGATCTAGCAGAAGTTTTTCTTTCATAAACCTGATAATGAACTTAGCTTTGAAGTACATTATCCAAGTTTATATTCATCAATAATACATACACTCACTTGTTCGGTGTTCGTAATAATAGTTAATTATCTAATGATGCACTAAAAAAATCTCAATCCTATGACTTTTTATATACTTTCAGTGAAAGAAGCCCCGATGAAAAATTCCCACTGAGTCATATGAAGGAAGAAAAAAAAAACTTCTTAAATAGATTCGCAAACAACTAAGAAGATGAATTTCCTTGAACTAAACTGTCTTTATTCTTGCTAACAATATGATTTAAAATCGATTCACATATTCTTTAAAAAACTTTCAATTATAATTGATTTTCAATAAAATGGTGTTTACTTACATAAAAAAAGCACGTGATTATTCAATGTTGATTACGAAATAAGAAAAAAACGTTTTCTTTTTTTCGTTCGTTCTCATCTATTTACAAATTGTGACCAAACAAAAAAAGAGAACACCAATTTTACCTCTTTTATAGTGCTCTATTTGTTATTTCTACATTCTACATGAATCGACATAAGGTATGCGAGTGTGGGGGTATCGGTGCGAATGAAGATAATAGTAACACAAACTCACACCCACACCCACCCACCCACACCGACACCCACACCCACCCACCCACACCCACCCACACCCACACACCCACACCCACACGCACCCACACCCACACACTCACACCCACACCCACTCACACCCACACCCCACACCCCACACCCACACCCACCTACACTCACACCCACCCACACTCCACACTCACACCCACACACCCACACCCACCCACACCGACACCCACATCCACACACCCACACCCACACACCCACACCCCACACCCACACCCACACACCCACACACCCACTCACACCCACACCCCACACCCACACCCACATCCACCCACACCCACACCCTCACATTCTCTTCAGAAAAGGATTGTTTCGTTTCTTTCCAGCAGGTGTGCTCGCGCACGCGTTGATAATTATGGTAGCAGGGTGTGGGTGTCGGTGCGGGTGTGCGGTGGTGCGGATGTGGGTGTGGGTGGATGTGAGTGTGAGTGGATATGAGCATAATGAGAAGACCTACACTCGCACCTATCCCACACCCACGCCCACACCCATACCCATCCTACACCCATCTCACGCGCACACCCATCCACACCCATCTCACGCGCACACCCATCCCACACCCTACTCACATCCACCCCATACTCACACCCATCCCACACCCACACCCGTCCCACACCCACCCCTACCCACACCTACAGCCAAGGTTACTCTTCACACCAACGCCCACACCCTTACCTGTTTTTTCACCGAAAGTTGAGAAAGCAAAACATTCTGCACTGTGACATAAGTTGAAAGATTGTTTTTGTCTTCTGGGCAAAAGGGAAACCATCGCCATGTACGCTCTCTCACAAAATGCATTTCATATCTCCAGGTGAGTAGACGAAGAAGCCATACGGTTATATAGGAAACGAATGAGGATTTTATGAGCCTATAAAGTATTTCGTGTATTTTCTGAACAAATCTAGCTATCACAATGAACAACTTGGGACTTTGGTAGCTTCTACAAAACCTGAAATAGCTGTTAAACACGGTGCGAAAGTCATAGACCTTTTTGTGAATGTTAGGAAGCCTATAAAAGCCTCATTTTTTTTGAACAAAGTCGAAGCCGTGTAAGATTTCAGAGGCTAACTTACGAAACTTTTCGAAACAATTTTTCAGCTGCTTACAATCACTTTGAGAACATCTATAGCTGTTACGGAAGCGCTTTCAGGGCTCAGATTTTTCAAACGAAAGGGCTGAATCTCTTTAACTCTTGATTACATTGCATTGCAGAACTTGAAAAGGTTTCACATTTTACGACGATGTCAGATCACTTTTTAGGCACCATCTAAAGCTTCTCGGATCTTTGAATAGGATTTTTAGAACTGTGACATGCTTTATCAGCATGTCTTGGGTTGTACGAAGCCCTTAGACAGATTGCGATTGAGTTGCAAAAAAAATTTCGTGTGGATTCAACTTTCTTTTGCGCGAAGTAAACGTGGTGTCGATCGGTAAGGAAGTTGTAACTGTGCGTTTACACTTGAAATATAATAGGTTATTTGGGGGATCTATTTTCCTACGAAGATCGATTGAGACTTGGTACATATACTTACCGAACCCAAAGACGACTGGTAAGAAATTTAACATAGTCTTTAGAGTTCCACGAATCGATCCGAAATCACGAGCGATGTTCCTCGCTCGCACCATTATACAAATTGAGTGAAAAACCTATTTTAAAGAGTGCGATAGATTACCTTAACATTCGCACCAATCCCATGTAAAATTTTTGCTAATTTAACGAAACTTTGTGACGTGAAAATTCGTTAAAAATTTAACGATTTAACGATTAAAAATGTTACAATTTTGATCGCGAAACCGCGTTAAACGTGCGCAAAATTAACGCGTTTAAACGCGTTTTCAAATTCTAACGATCTTTTTTTCGTTAAATCAGTACATTTTTAATGATTCTTCACACGTGAATTTATCGAAATCGCGTTAAATACGAAAGCTGATTAATATGTTACCCCTCAGAATTTTTCATACATTATTATTTACTGCAAGTATGATGAACTTCCTTCAATAATCAGTATCTTGCTTAGTTTCACACGCCTGAAGAGAATAGTCCAGGTAATCAATTCAATATTGGATGTACTTTTTAATAAGATGCTTCAGAAAGCATTGTTATCACTATAAATATTTCGTAATAGATAGAAAAACCAACGAGGAAGTACAATATTTTTTTTTTATTTTGTCGATATCTCGAAAGTGAAACTATTTATGGCTTTATTTGCTACAATTTTGCATTCTTGTAGGTACCAGAAATGTATTCCATAGTTGACAGAAATGATAAGACTATTACTAGTTTAAAATCTGGGATATCGACAAAGTAAAAAAAAATATTGTGCTCTTTGATTTGTTTCGCTATCAATTACGAAATGTTTTTAGTGATAATAGTGTTATCTTAAGCATCTTGTTAGAAAGTACATTCACTATTGAGTTGATTAGCTGGATTTTTCTCCTCAGACGAGTAAAACTTAGCAAGATATTGATCATCGAAGAAATTTCATCATATTTGCGGTGAATGACAATGTATGAAAAATTCTGAGAAGTAATATATTCATTAGCTTGAACTACGGAAAGACAGATTACATGAACTAATATAATTTAATTATCCCTTTCGTCTTAACTTAGTTTATCAGCTTACGTATTTAACAGAGATGAACCAGTCATAGTTTTCATATTAGATCTAGATTCTACAAGCGAAAAACTCAACTCAGCTCAACTCAATAGCGTAAAAGAGGAATTTATATCAATACACACTTATATAGGTGGCATGTAGCTCGAGTGAGAAAGTTAAAATATCACAGGTGTGAAAACGAATGCAGCATTTAACGATATATAATGAGTTAGTTACCATTAAAATGACAATCACGCGTGAAAAAACGTGAAAAATCTAACGCGTTAAAACGAATTTTCCAAATCTAACAAAAACTCATGAAAATTTTCTTCGTGAAACTTCATTACTTTGCCTTTTAAGGCAACTTTTGGCCTTTACTGGAGCAATTATTTCGCTAAACTTTTTTTTACCATGTGGAGTAGAAATGATGATGATGATGATGATATACGAAGTACATAATTACATTCCTTTAGATATGAAACCTAGAGTAAATTTTAAAGAAAAAAATCAAAGAGGATTATCTTTGTCTAGGATTAATTCAAGTGGTTTTGCTAGCGATTAATACAAAGTTGAGATTTCTCTAAAGGAGAGTTCTGCTTAATCTGATAAAAAGCTTTTGATATCTGGATTGATATAGTTCACAAACACACTTGATAATTCGTAAATATAAGTCTTTCAAGATGATTTTTGTGTAATGCGCATAAACAAATATGTTACACAAAAAACATGAATATTATACGCGTGAAAATGATTAGTAGATTGAATTAATGGATAATTAAATGACGTTCGTTAACAATTAAAATTTTCATTAATACTAGTTAAAAGATTTCACTCGTGAACACACTTACTAGATTTAACTAGAATCAATCAGTTAAGTTATGTGAAAAATAGAGAAATTCATGAAAACGCGTTAATATGTTTACCGCATGAAATTGAATACCAAGTTTAACGATATTTAACATGGTAAGATTGGTTAAAAATAAAAAAACTCAAGAAATATCGTTAAACTTCTTAACGCATGAAAATGAATGCAACGTTTAACGATATATAATGCGTTAGTTATAGTTAAAACGACAATCACGTATGAAAAAGCGTGAAAAATCTAACGCGTTTACACGAGTTTTCGGAATATAACGACAGTTCATGAAATTTTCTTCGTGAAATTTCGTTAATTTGTCTTTTAACGCACTTTTTTGTGTTAATTTCAAGAATCATTTCGTTAAATACCTTTTTATTTTTACATGGAAGATCTGTAGCATAGTTGTTTATCTCGCATTCGCTATTTGGATTTCAGATACCAACATCTAGATATCTTCTTGTCACCTATCTATATATATAGTACTTTTATCTTTCACATTGCTCAGAATAGTTGGGGAAAATGCATCTTCTTGTGTTGCTCCTTGGGATGTGGGTGTGGATGTGGATGTAAGTGTCTTCTCTTCAGTCACGCCCACACCCACACCCTGTATGTGTGCATTTATGGCAGTTGTCATTTGGCTTATTTTGAACATTTCTATTTCGATCTTATTTGGATGTAATAGATAGAATTCATTCAAATAAAATCTCATATATATTCTTGAGAATTTAATATTCATATCACATTATTGTAATAGATGATGTTCACTTGGACAATCTAAATGCTTTTCTTTAAACTAATGTAGTATAATTTTTTTTGCATTGTAGTCATCCATTGTTGCTGTCAATCTTTCAATGTTGCTGTGTACATTCCTTCTCAATAAATGAGACATTTGAAAAGTATATTTAACAAAAATGAAAAATAAAGGAGGGAAAGCAAACAGAAACGGGACAAAAAGCATTGTTATGATGTAAATCAAACGAATCCTTGAAGAAAAAGAAGCAAAACAACTTTGATCGACAACAACACAGCATCAAAATTGTTCAGAATATTTCAGGTTGAACTACTGGAACATAGTGAGTAAGTTACTCGGATGATCCAAAAGGCAAAATAAACTATTTTTTATATCATGTACATAGCGCCAAGACTATTCGGGTTTATCTAAATTGATAGATTTTCTTTTTTGACGTTCATCAACATGTCATTATTTTATTCTATATGTTTCTAGATTTTTGACGTTTACTTTTTCGTTTTTGCCAGTTTAAATACACCAGATGGCTAAGGCAAACCAATCTGATAACAGATCTCGCTTCACTGATCTTGGCACTGAACCCATAGATCATCTCTTAGCACCAATCAAAGGCTATCAAGACAAACCACTTGTTACACTTACAGAAGCAATTGAACCGGTTTTCGGGTATTTTAATGAAATTGAAGACAATGCTGCTGTTGCATTACATAATTGCAAAAATCCAGCTGATGGGTTAACTGAACAAGAATCAGCTTCGATTCATTTATACACAATGGAATTTGATGGCGGACCAAGTTTGTATTTGTTACTTAATCAATCATTGCGTGCTGAAAATCGTGGAGAATTGAAACCATGGTTTTTATTTCTCAAATTATTTCTTACTGGTCTTCACAAACTACCATCATATCGTGGAACAGTATGGCGTGGTGTTCGAGATGTCGATTTAACTTCAAAATATAAAGCTGGCACAGAATTTGCTTGGTGGGGAGTAAGTTCTTGTACTACTCACGTGGAAGTACTTGAAAAAGATCAATTTTTGGGTAAAGATGGGCAACGTACTCTTTTTTCGATTGAATGTATCAATGGAAAATCTATTGCAAAACATTCTTATTTTAAAAATACTGAAAAAGAAATTATTCTTATGCCAGGCTCCTATTTTCAAGTGACTAGTCAATTGAATCCAGCACCCGGACTTCATATTATACAATTAAAAGAAATTACTGCGCCAATGACACTTGTTAAATCACCATTTTCGAAACCAAATGAACAAGAATCACCTTCTGTCGTTCAAAAAATAAACACATCTACATCATCGATGATGAGACAAATGGCATCTGCTGAAAACTTAACCAATAAGATAACATCGAAAACATCAGGTATGAAAGATTTTATAGTTCTAATTTTCTTTTCTTTTTTCTATGGCACACTGCTAGTATCAATTTGGGAAACAAATAATTAAAATTAAAGCTGAATATAGAATTTTTAACAGAATACTACATGAATCTACATGTAAGATGTCTACTACTCTTAGTCCGATTGATATCAAATTGTAATTCTTCACGTGATCACTTTATTGACTTTATCAAGTGTCTTTCATTCATCACAGCTTTAAGATTCCAGTACAAGTGTCAATAAGATGAATCTTTACTGTCAAAATATTTTATAACAATACTAATAAATGAAACAAAATGTTAAGCAGATTATTTAGATTTTTCTATTGTTAATTATTATCATAGTTAATCTCGATATTCTTCTAGAAAAATTTTTACACATTGACTTGAACAAACTACCTATAAAGATAAAATGAAACAGATTATAAATAAAGACACTGACTATAATAAATCATCATGGTATAACAGTTTTTGATTCACTCTGTTATTGGTGAATAATCCTAATTTTTCTAACTTTTGATACTTCTATGGAACAATATCCAAAACCGAGAAAGCCAGATTTATTCATCAACTCTGGAATGAATCAGAATGATTTTTCTTGAAAATCAGGGAAATCAAGACTACAGTTCATCAAGTCCGATCCGGACTCAGATCTGAAACTTTTCATGAATAAAACAAATGGGAGACTTTGAATTTTTTGAATGCGTACATTCACTCCTTTAAAAGAAGTTTCCCACTGTAAATTTTAAATAAATTCTATTTTCTAGAAAATCCGCTTTAAAAAGGCCACAGAATTTTGAAATTTTTATTATTCACCGTTCGAATTTCAAAATTTCAGAAAATGCTTGATTTTTTAATTTACAGTGTACATGAAGGATTATCTCAACTATCAACCCTCATATGACTTCAATGAATAGATTCTGAAGCAAATATATATATTTTTTTAATTTATCAACATTTGAACAAGTCGTCTAGTTAATGAAAAATCTTTAATATTGACATGTTAGAACCGTTAAGTGATCATGTATCATTGGAAAAAAATGTGATACACAATGAAATTTCTGTTATAAAATCCATGATTAAAGATACTAAATTGTAAACTACGACGAATATACTTAATGAATTAAAGTCAATGACACAAGTATTTCCTTCAAGTGTTGCTTTGATCAAAGGCGCTGTCAAATCTTCTGTATCATCCGTTGTATGTAAAAGACCTTTTTCAAAATTGAACCTCGATGGATGGTGAGAAACTTAGTGATCTTACGTTAGTGTATTGGGTATAGACAGAGAATGCGACATAGAGTTTGAAAAAAGTTGTCGATGTATTCCTAGTGGCGTAAGCAGAGTTCAGTTTGAAGTTATTGAGCTTTTAATTATATTCGAATATGATTTCATTGTTTTTTCCTTCTGTGAGATATATGTCGTAGACTAATCTAAGATTCGCCTAGGCCATTCTGGATCACAGAAGACTTTTCCATTAAAACTCCCATAACTGTCTATATGAATGTTGGATTCAAATTTATATTTTTAAACTGTGTTGATACCATGGTAATTCAGGTATAAAAAACGTCAATAGAGAAATAACAGGAGAATTCGTGAAGTTATGTATAATTTTCTACAGAAGACTACTTTATCGAAATTAACTTTTGAGTGTTGGAGTCCGAACTTAGTATCTCCTTTGATAATTATAGTACCTGTAAGACCATCATCTCAACTCAGCTTAATAACAAGAATTTGAATCTCAGAACTAGATCTACAGTTACGAACATTTTCTTGAAAACTCCTCCCTCAATTGAGGATTGAACCAACGCCCTCTCCCCACAATAGAGGACCCTCCTTTTATTGAGTGTATTTATATCAAAGTATGCCCAGTTTTCAGAATTTTGAGTCGCAAGTCTTAAAAGAGTGAGTTCAAAATTAGATATGAGTTCATAAAATCCTCAAAATGCCTCTTTATTTTAAAAAATCTTTTTAATTAAAAAGTATGAAAAAACATAGGATATAATACCAAACCTCATGGAAAATTTTGCCCTTGAACATAATAGAAGAACCGAGGTCTTTTTTTGTGAGAGGATTTAATCCAAGTTGATATCTCAGAATTACCTAGACGAATCTTAGATTGACCTACGACATATATTTCTCCTTGTAAGAGAGAAAATCGTTTATGCATTGCTGCTCAGAAATTTAACATTTCTCCTAGAGCTCCGTATTATACTAGAAAGATAATCTTATCCGTTTCTACTTATATTCCTAAATGAGTACGTTGATTCCTTTTCCTGTTGGACACATTTTTCCTTGCAAGGGTAGCAGTGGTTCATTGATTTGTAAAGAGAAATCTGTTGTAAGGTAGTGATTCCTCCTAAAATGGAAAGAATTTATCGATTTTGTCGTATATGATCCAGTTCTCATGAAATTCAATGCCTCATAACCGAAAACAATATTATTTTTCTTCTCACCATTTTGGTTCTGACGGCTGAGCTACACTACGCTTAAATTTCTTGTTATACGCTGCCCTAATTGATATGCCAGATACTGCATGCACCTTACTAAATTATATTGTTAGCTTCCTCATTGGTGTGAGTGGCATTCCTTCTTATAAGTATAACATCACAGATGCAGCTTTTCGAATACCCTCTCATCAAACCCCTATCGTCTCAGATACTTTCTTTAGCAATCCAGTTGCTCTGTCTAGTGGGTCTAATACATCATTAAACATCGCTTTATTACCATCTCAAATTCTCGTCTTAGATTTCTTTATAAGAAGAGAAGTTTCCCGAAGTACTCCAATAATCATATTACATATCTATGATTTAGAATGTATTATGAGTCTTTATAACAGAAATCGCAAAGAAATTAGATTCACATTAGCACTAACATTCTACTCTAAGATTATATAGAAGTATCTTCTTCTTCGTTAAATTCTAGTCATTCCTGAGATTTCCGTCAATGCACGATGGGCACAGAATGGTACGACTGTTGCCGGTGGTAACGGATGTGGGCATGCTAGTAATCAACTCTATTGGCCTTGTGGTCTCTGCCTTGATGGTGATCAAACGATAGTCATCGCTGACAACTCGAATAGTCGTATCGTCCAATGGAAGATAGGTGATACAAATGGACAAGTAATAGCTGGTAGCAATGACAAAGGAAGTCGTTTGAATCAATTGCATTTTCCAACTGATGTGCTGATCGACAAAGAGATGGATAGTCTTATTATCTGCGATCGAGATAATCGACGAGTCGTACGATGGTCTCCGCGTAGTGGCGCTAAACAAGGAGAAATCCTCATCAACAACATCAAATGTTTCGGATTGGGCATGGATGATCAAAGGTGTCTCTACGTCTCCGACTCCGAGAAACATGAAGTCAGAAGATATGAAATGGGAGACCAGAATGGAACTCTCGTAGCTGGTGGGAATGGGCCAGGTGCTGGTCTCAATCAACTCGATAGGCCGACCTACATCTTTGTCGATCAACAACAGACTGTCTATGTGTCAGACGAACAAAATCATCGTGTGATGAAATGGAATACAGGTGCAACAGAAGGAATTGTCATCGCTGGAGGACAAGGCGAAGGGGCTGCTCTGACACAATTGTCTTATCCTCGAGGACTGTTCATCGATATGTTGGCTACCCTCTATGTAGTAGACTGTTTTAATCATCGAGTGATGCGTTGGCCTAAAGAAGAAAAGCAGGGTACTGTCATTGTGGGTGGAAATGGTAAAGGAAAAGAACCAAAGCAGTTTAATCGACCAGTTGGTTTATCTTTCGATCATCAGGGCAATCTCTATGTCGCCGACTGGGGTAATGATCGTGTGCAACGTTTCTCTATCAAATAAAATCGCAATCGAATGAATGAACTGCTACTCCTTTTCCTTCTATCTACGCGCGCGACCCGTGACTACCCTGATGGCGCCGTGGTGAGCGTAAAGCTCATGCACGCACGGCACAGACTCACGTCCTCCACATCCTTGGAAGAATGCGTCGATGAGTCAGTGTGGCCGGTCGTATACCACGGACACCAGAGTAGTGCCTGCCCGAGTTTTTATGACCTATACGAAAGACCTGTAAATAGGATGGGTGTGGATGTGGGTGTATATGTGCGTGGGGTGTGGGTGTAGATGTGTGTGGGGTGTGGGTGTTGGGTGTGAGGGTGGGTGTGGGTGCAGGTGCAGGTGTGGGGTGTGGCTGTGGGCGTGGGTTTGGGGTGTAGGCGTGGGGTAGGTGTGGATGTGAGTGTGAGTGTGGGCGTGAGGGTGGGTGCGGATGTGTGTGGGGTGTGG